ACACATGCGATCGAGATTCAGGGGTCAAAAATGGCCTCAAAAGAAGTCAGCCACAATTTTATAAATCGGGTTTTTAAATTCTTTTTAAACAATTATAAATCGACTCAACAATAACTCAACACGATTACGAGAGTTCCGATTTACTCATACAACATCATGATATAATCATAGAAATTCCAATGATACTTAATTTAATGAAGTCACGAACATAATCCGATAAATGAAACGACATATAAAAGCCGACGGATAATTCGAAAGAAAATCGACTTCAAACATGAATTCGGTAGCACGTATGATACACATATCTATCATGTGATATATGAAAACGATCGTAATAACGAGAGGATTTGAATAAGTTACTTGACTTCGGGAAACTACCAGTTATCGAATGGAAAACAGGCCCGACAGCAGGTCGAACGAACGACTTTGGGACTCGGAACCTTCAAACACGGTCTGAAAGCTGCTGGTTCTCGGATGCCTGATGTAATATCCCGTTATTTTATTAGTATAAATCATGCTTTAGTTCCGATATAATAACGTTATCGATTGTTATTTTCAGAATTAATCATTTTCAGTCGAGACTACCGAAATTTATTTTCGACGTATCGTTTACGTTCGGAATAATTTTGGTAATTAAGTATTATGTTTAATTAATAATTAAACATAAGTTAGTGATTAATTAACAAATTAATCACATTTAAAGCCTTAAAGCCGTAGGAAATAGATTTGTTATCCCAATTTTTAATCAAAAGTCGTAAGCTTCTTCATTATTTGGAAAATAATTCTTCCTCACTTTTTGGCTCAAAACGTGGCAGTAGTTGGAGGTGCTTAGTCATCCAAAATTTACCAAATTAGTACCAATTGGATGGCACAAGAAGAGGACACGCCTCACCTCATCATCCCAACATTTTTTTCTCCTCTCTCTCGGCATTTAGTATAATTAGGAAAGTTTGGGACCGATTTTCTCACCCATTTCAGCCATATATTTGAGCTTCTTTCTTCAGCAATTTAATAGAAAGTTCAGAGATATAGAGAGTGAGAGAGATCAGAATTTACTTAACCAAACAAGAGGATATTGCACGGCAAGCTTCTGCACAACATCACACACACGCATACGCAAGGGAGATTTTGAGTAAGTCTTGCGATTTCATCGCATAATTGAGTAGGTAATTTAACATTACCTCTGAATTGATCATGTAAATAGTGAGCTAGTTCGGTTTTGGTCGATATATCAGTTAGGTATTGGCTTTGAACCGTTCGACCGCGTGCATCCGTGTGTATGTGTCTGAGGTTAGAATTTCTATCAAGTTATCATGTTTGTTTCAGAAATTCTTCAGTAATCATATCCTATTTGGCTTAATTATGTGG